GTGCCACTACTCCCCATCCTCTCGGGGGCAACCGCAGCACCACACCCACATCACTCCCACTCTCAGGGTCCACCCTCTCTGGGCCCCTCACAACACTGGCCCTCTAGGCCCTCCAACAAACACATGGGTAACCCACCTGGTGGTGGTGGGAGCTAGGGGTTAATGCACCCCAACCCGCCTTTCACCGGGGTGATAACTGGCCTGGAATTTCCTGGGGCTCCCGCACCACTGAGAGCCCCACCAGACCACCCAGCAGGGTACAGTTTCAGGTCATGCCCAGGCCCAGGAGCCTCCTAACCATCCCCTTGCAGCTCCCCCTTACCTCCGGGTCATTCACAACAGCCCTTCAACCAGGCAATGTTGCTGCCTGCCTCCTGCAGCCAAACTGCCTTGTTTATATAGGCAGCCTTTGCCTCAAAATGGCTGCCCTCATCAGGCACCTGGAGGCTGCCAGCTCCAGGCCCTTAAAGTGGCAGGCACACACAGTGCACTGCCACACTATTCTTATGTAAACCAACTACTGAAAAATCATAAAACTCCAATGTTCCCTGTTTGCTGAGCAGAGATTTGGGGGCAGAAACTTTTCCAGAAAATTTTCCAGTGCTTTATTTTTCCCTGGGAAATTTTCCATTTCCAAAAATGAATTTTTTCATAAAATTCATTAGTAACAATGAATGGATGCCCATACAATATTAGGTAAGCTTGGCAGCTTCAAAGTTGTAATTGTTTTTCAGGTGATTTTCCCTAGGAAGTGTGTGAGAGAGTACATATATGTTTTATTGATTTGTAAACAGGAGGGCAAATACACTCACATACAGGCAATCCTCACCATTCACATGGGATACGTTCTTAGATCCCCTATGAATGGCAAAATCCATGAATAATCCACCCCTACCTGCAGTGCCCTGGCGGGCGTATTTAAAATACGGGTTCGGTATTCACGAATAATTGAAACCACAAATACCGAACCCGCAAATAGCGAGGGTTTCCTGTAATAATCCAAACCAAAAATCAAGTTATGAATTCAGGCAATTGGCTGTGCAGGTCAAATCAAAACCAAAGCACGGCATATCATGCATAGTTCTTTGTGCATGCTAAAATTAGTTTGTCAATAGTTTTCAGTGCTTTCAGTTTTTTTCTTAAATTTAAACAAACAATGTAAGGGAAGTACATGCTATTGTGTATTGTCTTTATATTTTTACAAGTAGTCCAATAAAAATAATTTCTTTCCACATAAAGCTTTGAATTTATTTGAATATAACATTTAAACCACATTAAGTGTGCTGTATTTAATTTTTTTCCTCATAAAATATTTCCGTTCAAATACTTGTGGCTATTGGGATATAAGATTAACATGGGGGTACTTTTTTAGTTTTGTTTACTGAATATAAGTCAAATAAACATGCTAAATCAGATCATGCTCTATTTAGGGCAGTGGAAAATTTTCCGATTCAAATTTTCTGGAAAACCCACACCACTGTTACTGAGGTATGCTTATTTCCCACCATTTTATTTACCTCATCATGTCACTCTCCATTCCTCTCATCTTCCAGTTTGTTCTCACCTCCCTCTGTATCACCTTTGAATTTAAAGAGTAAAATCTTAGGTTTCACTGAAATCAACAGCAAAGCTCTATTTGACTTAATTTGGTCCAGGACTAATTTAAACTTTGTGGAGTATACAAGTAACCAGCTATTCATTCTGAGAGACACCTAGCTATTGGCCACATGACAGCTAATAAGTAAAAACAACAACAATAATAATAACTATATTTTGTTTCATGGAAGCTATTAAAGTTCAGCACAGGCTTAAGAACTGAAATTCTACCGTGTGTCCAGGATTTGTACTGGCTGTAAACAAGCTTTATGTGAAGGCTATTAACCACTGAAGGAGAAATGCTACATCTGCAACTTGATGGTACAGACAACATGATTTATAAAATACTAGACTTTTATTTTAGCTTCTTTCCCAATTGAAAGTTATTTTGTTCAGAGAGAAAGATACCTGTTTTTGGGCACTGTTAATGTTTTATTAGTACTGTATTAACAACAATAACAATAAGTGTTCACTCCGTATAAGCCTGAAGAATCTGAATCCAGATTTCCAATCCTCTTTGTCAGGGAGCAACAATACCAGAAAAGCTGTGCAAGACAGGATAGTTTCTGAGCACAGAATTTTGTGCAAGTTTTTATTTTAGTTTATCTGTAAGGCTAGGGACAGGAGTTGCACATAAACCAGTTTAAGTGATCAGAAACTGGTTTAAGATAAACCTGGGTGAATGTAGCATCAGACTTAATTGATTTGGGTCAAACCAGTTTATGGAACTTCTGTGCCAGACCCCTTCCAGGTTCAAGTTAAATCGCAGTCCCCCAGCATCCTAGCATGCTTTCCAGCCTTGGGCTGGGCTGTCTGTTCCAGCAGGCGGGGGGCGGGCAGCAGGGACTGCCCCTCCTAGTCAAACCCTGGCTACAGTCTGGGGCCAGGGAGGGGAACTTCCCTTCCCCCATGTACAGAGCTTCCCTGCCCTGCCAAAAACTTACTGCTGGCTGTGACTGTAGACTACAAATCCCAGAAGCACCTGGAAGTAGGAAGATGAAGTGATGAGAAACCCTGCAGAGTCCTGCTGCTGTGATTCTCAACTACAAATCCCAGAGACCCTGGGGGCAGCAGGAAGAGGAAGTGAACACAGTCTATGCTGGCTACATGCCAGAGAGCTGTGCCCTAGAACCCCTGGGCTTCTGGCCTGAGCCACTGCAGGCATGTGGCTACATTTCTTGAATCAAAAGTGATTTGTCCTGTTGTTTCTCAGCTTAGTCTCAGCAGCTTAAGCTAACCTGCAAAGACTGAATTGATTCAGCCTCAGGCTTTTTGACTATCTGTACTTAGCCTTATTGATCACTGAATAGTGGGATTCACATGAACCACGATATTCAAAACAAAAATTCACTTTAAACACCAAGTTTCCTTTGGTCTCACACAGAACTCATTCACAACTCTTGAGTTCTATATTGTCTAAATATGATATCAGTAATCAGGCAAGGTATGTGTCACAACCCAAGGGTGTGATTTTGTGTGTGCGCGCTTCGGCACTGCTAAATTATTTCCCGCCACAAGGAGCTTTCTTTGCACGGTGCATTTCTCAGTTGCAAAGAGAAAACCCCAGTGCAAAGGAGTTCCCACCACCCACATGCAAATTTGTGTCCCACTATTGGCCAGTTCTAAATTATTCCCACGTGGCGGCTAGCGATTGGCTTGCTAGCCGTATAAGAGGCTTGAGCGGTTTCTGCCCAAGTTGGAGGACTCCACAATCATCTTGTAGAGGAGGCTGCTGATGCTGACTCATGAAGAATGCTAAGCGCTGTGGAGCCTAACGGACCCAGCGTGTGCCTTAAGAAGGCTATAGGGGTCTGATCAACCTCTGGCCTCTCCCTGTTGCCGAATGTGATCCCTTGACAAACCCCTTCCCTGCGCGCTTGTTCCATGGAGCCTAGCAAGCTTCGTGTGTGTGTGTATCCAGAGCTCTGTCCGAGTTATTTCAAGAGGCTTGAGTTTTCTGCGGGTCTTCTTCGAGTTCGTGTTGTGGAGCCTAGCAAACTCCATGTGTCTGTCTGTAACTGCAACGCAAGCAAGTTTTTCCTGCCTGCACCGCGACCATCTACGGTGTAAGTAAAATAATCTTTAATCAACCGCTACGCGTCTGTGCCTAATTCTAGTCTGCCGGCCTGCATTCCCCGACCCGCGTGCCAGGGCTGCTGGCCACAGCCCGCCGCGCGCCCCTGAGGGCCTCAGACCGCTCCTGGCCCACACAGTATGGTTCAAAATAAGCTTCAGTTCTTTCAGAAGGAGGAGGAAGCTGGAAGTGTGAGGAAACTGGATCTGTTCAGTATTTTGGTTCAGTCTTTACCTGGGGTATTTGCAAGAGGCTTTCAAAAAAAAAAAAACCCCAAGTCAACCAAAACAAATCAAACAAAAAACCTAAGAATAACTTTCTATTGATAATAAAAACAAAAATCCACAAGTTCTTTGTTATTTCAAGTATCAAAGAGAAAATTGCACCCCTCGTGAACATACAGAAATTCCTGGCCCTGTTGAAATCAGTGGGAGTTTTCCTGGGTTGTTTTGGGGTTTTTTTTGTAAACCCAGAATTTCACTCACTGTCAGGTAAGAGGTATATAACAGAATTCCAAACTCATATAGTCACTTTTTAAAACTTTCTCACTTTTTTGCTTGGGTTTAAAACTTCATTTGATTATTCCTATGTTTCTCAGCCAGGGTGTTATAGCACTCTGGGTTGCCTTGAGATCCTTTCAAGGGTGCCATGCAATGTTAGTTGTCACATGTGCAAACATGATTCACAAAATTAAACTGAAGATTTTTCAATGGGATTTCATAGTGTTAAAAGCATTCTGACTTGTAGTCTTTCTGAGTTTTTTTTTTTCTTTAGTATAAAAAGAAGCGAAAACTAAGAGAAGGCATTTTCCAAGGGATGCCTTGAGTCTACCAAGAGGTGCCTTGAATCTAAAAATCTAAAAAGGTTGAGAACCACTGATGTTTTTTTTTTTTTTTTTTCCTCAAAACATAAGCAATTGTTTTAAAATTTCCAACATAATTAGTCAAACCGGTTCAAGAAAATATATTTACAATCCCTTTTCGCATAACTCTAACAAATTTTGTAGCACTAAGAGAACTTCCATCAGTGGCTAAGAGGCATGAACTTTCTGGAGGTATGGAAAAATGTGTATTTGCAGTACCTTCAAAAGGGGTGGGGTAGCAGCCATTACAATTTTACTGTTAACTCTTCGTGAGTCGACAGCAATCCAAGTGTAGCAAAACCACTCCAAAGTCAAAGTCAGGGTGCTTTAGTTCGCCTGTATCACTACTGGATCATGCACATATAACAGCCACAGCATAAGAGCTGCTGCATGCTCGCAAACAGAAGTTCCTCCTCCACTTCTGGGGCCACTTCAAATGTACAATTGTCAGTAGCCTAGAAAATACGCAAAAGACTTTTCTCACAAAAACTGTTTGCTGTAACTTCTCATGTCTGAAAGGTGCTAACTGAACTCTTTGATTGTGCATTCGCAAGACAGCACAAAGCAGCTTGCCATTCACACAAAGCATAATCAGTCTATCAGCATTGCTTATAATTTCACTTTTAACAACATTCATTAGAAACTAATAGTTACGATATAAAAATCAGTGTAAAATGACATAAGAACCAGATCCTTAAATACTGGTGAGAAAAGAGAGAGTAAGATTTCCTGTACCCCAGAGGCTTCCTGAAAATTTCTCCATAAAGGAGTGAAACAAAACCTGAATTCCAACATTTTTCTGAGATCCCACAGGAGGGACACAGGGGAAATCTAAATGCCAGCAATGAGATCACTTTCTAATAATCCCAATAAATAGATCTGTTGCAAAAAACTGATGGAAAGAAAATGCCGGTATGCCTGAGTAATGCTGAAGAGAAACACACTTGCTCCTAACACAATGGAAAAACTGTTCATGAATAGCTAATCTGTGTGAAGCTATGACCCCAGTCATGCAGTTGGTGCAGTAAGTACTGTGGAAATCTACTTGAATTAGGTGTTGACTGAGCAAACTAATGGTATATGTAGGCATATCTCTATCCACCTATTTATTCACATGTGGTGATGGTATCCATGTGATAAATTGCATTTAACATGCACCTACATTTTGCCCACTAATCCAGCTTCACCTTGACTACTCCTAACATTACAAATCTCTATGGAGATCTGTACAAATCTCCAAACAACCCCCTTTTGTTTATATGACCAATGATTTTTTTTCCTTCTTCCTCCACAAAAGAAAAAAATATTTCAAAAAAGTATGCTGGTCAAAAGCCAGGACAGATTTAAGTTCTTGTATCTTGCAATTCAATGTGATTAAAACTAGGCTCTTTAAACTATTAGCAATTAGAATGCAGCTGTTTGTTTCTAAGCACGAGCATATATTAATTCTCAGAGGAAGTTTGACTTTCATACCTATGGGTGGACATTGAGTGCTAGTGCAGAAAAGGGTGGGGGCCAAGGGTGCATAATATAGCCCTAGTGTTTCCACAGAAGTCCACAGCACTGAAGGCCCAATCAGAACCAGAGAATCAGAGAGGCACAAGTTACCTAGTCCAACCTCCTGCCTGAGGCAAGATCATCCCTATATGAACTATCCCATAAAAACTCACTGTCTAACCTATGAAACCACAGTTTCATAGTTTCATAGTTGGTAGGATCGGAAGGGACCTGAGCAGATCATCAAGTCCGACCCCCTGCCATGACAGGAAAAAGTACTGGGGTCAAACGACCCCAGCGAGGTGTTCGTCTAACCTCCTCTTAAAGACCCGCAGGGTAGGAGCCAGCACCACTTCACTTGGAAGTTGGT